TAATACAAATAGTATTGTAATTTATACCAGATTGGCTTAAAATTCTCAAAGTGAAATCCAGTCGCTCATTTGAATATCATATATAACATCCTCCATTTGCACTTGTTGGTTTCATTACAGTTGCTATGTGATTTGAAGATATTCCATTGCTTGTAGATAACCTAAAAGCATCTGTTTCACAATATTGGATTATTAATAACTGACATATCTTACAATGACTTGATCATAAGAGGATATCACCGATTGGTCACAATATGATGTATGTATACATAATTGAACGAGCTTATTGACGAAAAATGTTATAAAAGCCAGTCTGGATAAGTGACATTATGGATTTTATTTATGAACATATCACAAAGAAATTTATTTCAACAGTGATTTGATTCACCATACTACTTATATACTACTCATTATATTCAACCCCACAAGGAGGGTTGAGGTAAGAAAAGGTCGACCCTAAAAGCGTACACCTCGTCTTATCCCACGGATATCCATCTCCGACGGTAAGGTCCCAACAAGTACGGAGCTAACACAAAAGCTACCCACAAAAAGGTCATTTGTGAACGACCTCAAGCAGTTGTCCCTTGGGCCCTGCGGTCACGCTCTCAGATCATTAAGACTACTTCTAACCTAATTTCCTTTTCAGGTACCTCTAGTAGAACCCTTCCACGGTGTGAGCAATCGGGAAGTGATAACTTCACTCCTACCTCTAACAGCATTCAAAATCACTGAATTCATATTCTAATAATTAGTTTGAAAAGCCACGAAAATACATGTGAATAATAAATCTGTTTAATAAAACGGATTACAATTGATGTCCAGTATCTGAAAAATTAATTTTCAACATGAAGTTTACATGATCACTCCAGAGAAAATCGATTTGTAATTTTCATCGATGCTTTTTCGAAATAGTATAAAATTTGTTGTCATTTTGGGTTTCAATAGACTATTGTTCCCGTTTGCGGGAAGTTTGGTTTAAAAAGGACAGTGGTATTTTTCCTCGTTGAGTAAATTCTATTGTTTTGATCGTTATTAACGTATCAAGACTACTGTTTTTATACTTTGATTGAATTTCTTTCAGTTAAAGTATTCTATTAGAGTATCATCTTTGGTATCCTAAATAGTTTTATCGTCGGTACTCCAGAGTACCTTCTTTTTCCATTGTGTCTGTTAGTACTTTGGTCCTAACTGTTTATAGTTTTTTTTTTTCTACTTATAGTCAACACTCACTTTCGCATCTTAAAATGACTGGAAGATGCAACAAAAGCATTTGCCACCGCCCAGGATGTCGATATCCTGTTGATAGCGGCATGCAGTGCGATGAGTGCAAAGGTTGGTACCACGATGTTTGCACGAATCTAACACCTGCAGCTTTCAAGCGGTTTAGTAAAAATGGATGTGTATGGCTATGTCAACAGTGCTGTTTGGATGCAAATAGCCTGCTAACTGAGGCCATTTCAATAGTAAATGCCGCAAAAAAGTGTCTCGGCAAGCGCGGTCGGGATACATCAGTCAGAACTCAATCTGTCGACACGCAGATTGACACAAGGCAGGCCCAAGTGAGTCCAAAAACTGCCGACCCACACCCTACTAAGGAGGAAGAACATCCTCCAAAGAGGACTGTTACAACCAGAAACTCGCGCAAAAAAGTCTCTTCTGTCCCTCGTATCAAAAATGGTACCCAGAAGGGAACTTCAGGAAGCCGAAACCGCAAGGCTCGATCGGTTTCCAGCGCGAAAGATGACCCGATCTCCCAAGTCGTCCTGACTCTTCCGGAATCCCACAGTACGCCTGACGCGAATGTGGTTACCACTCCAAAGAACGTTGGCGATTGGGTACGGGTCGTAAGAAAAAAACGCCAAAATGACGTAAAAGGAAGTCATACCCCCACCAAAAGGGTCGACAAGCCGAGGTCTGATCACAGCGACAGATCAGTCATTCTCCATAGAGTCAAGGAGAGTGACAACTTAGAAACGAAAGCTCGTTTTGAGCATGACATTGTGTTGATAAAACAACTACTCAACCAAGTTATGCCCAAAAACATCCCCGGAGTCACCTTGCTAAAGGTGTATAGATTAGGAAATCTAGCGCATCTGAAACCAAATCAGTCTAGACTACTCAAAGTCGTTTTCAAATCCTCAAACGAACGCGACTTAATCTTAGAAAATGGACACAAATTAAAGGGTTCAGGAGTTTTTCTTCGTAAGGACTTACCGTTGGCGGACCGTGTTAAAAGACGGGAAGCCGAAAAGGAACTACAGCTCAGATTAGACGCTGGCGAAAAAGACCTGAAAATTGTAAATTTTCGGGTTGTGAGGCTTCGACAGAGGATGATGCCGAAGCCACTCTGGGTGAAGCACGAGGCCACCTAAATAGGCTTCGGATCTGTTATACCAACGCCCGGAGCTTACTAAATAAGCTACCGGAACTAGGTGTACAGATTGACTTGTTGCGAACCCTTTAAGTGTATGTTTTAATCTATCCGTAACCCAGGGTCGTCTACCAAAAGACTGGAAGAACGCCATAGTAAGTCCAGTCTTCAAAACAGGTATAAAACATAAGCCTGAGAATTACCGACCAATTAGCCTAACTAGTGTGGTTGTTAAAATCTTAGAAAAGATTATTCGGAAGGAACTGTTAAAGTATCTCGATGAAAACCGGATCCTCTCCGAAAAGCAGCATGGTTTTAGAACAGGTTACTCTTGTCTCACAAACTTATTAGTCGCTCGTGAAAGCTGGTGCGCTCTTAAGGACCAAAAATTACCTATAGACGTAGCTTACATCGATTTCAGCAAAGCCTTCGACAAAGTTCCGCATAACCGGCTGTTATATAAGCTAAGGAATGTCGGGATTGGAGGCAATCTATTGATGTGGATAAAAGACTTCCTAGTTGGGCGTCAACAAAGAGTAAGGGTGAACTCCAAGTTGTCTAGCTGGGAAACTGTGCTTAGTGGAGTCCCCCAAGGTACAGTTTTGGGGCCAGTGTTATTCCTCCTGTACGTAAATGATCTCCCTCGTCTACTATCGTCATCGGTCTTACTCTATGCTGATGATGTCAAGATATGGAGAGCGATACAAAGCAAGAGCGATAGCTTAGAACTTCAAAATGACCTGGAGAGATTATCTGAATGGTCCCAAACCTGGCAATTGCCGATAAACACTTCCAAGTGTATTGTGATGCATATTGGCCATCAGGGTACAGATACATACACGATGAATAACACTGAGTTACCTATTGTTCAGGCACACAATGACTTAGGCGTCATCGTTAGTCAAGACTTAAAGACTACTGCACACTGCCGTGCAATAGCCGCCAAAGGTTTTAGGACTTTATGGTCCATACGCAGGGCTTTTAGGCATCTTGACGCTAAAACGTTTCTGACTTTGTATATAGTGTTCGTACGCCCTAAACTTGAGTACTGTATACAAGCAGCTAACCCCTGCCTAAAAAAAGACAGTGAACTCTTGGAAAGAGTTCAGAGAACAGCAACTAGGCTGATTCCCGGAATAGCGAAGCTCCCGTATGGTACTAGACTGACCAAGCTAAACCTATTCCCGCTGTCATATAGAAGAATCAGAGGTGACTTGATTATAGTTTTCAAATTGCTAAATGACAAATTTGCACCTGATATGCCCTCATTTTTCTTGTCTTCCAAAACAGAAAATCTACGAGGACACTCCAAAAAAGTTCACAAGCCCAGAACGAATTACTTGTCAGCTGACTACCGACTTTCCCATCGAATAATCAACGAGTGGAATTCATTACCTCAGCACGTGGTTGAGGCTCCATCCGTCGACTCCTTCAAAAGAAAGTTGGATCAGCTGAGAGACCATCATTGCCAGGACTAACACAGGCCACCAAGCCTCCTGTCCTTTCCAAACTGAAACTGAAACTGAAACTATTATTGAACTAATATTAAGTTTAAGTAGTTCCATGAAGGGCTGAAGAGAAAATGAAATCAAACATTGTGCTTGTACTAATCTACATCGAATCAACTGTATAAAAACATTTTATCGACACGATGATAAATAGACACTCAGAAAAAAAGATAAGAGTTTCATAATGGATGTTATAGGACAATAACTCATTAAACTATTGCACACAAGTTCTCACCTGAAAGGAATATGTTTCTACGGATTAGAGAAATTGATTTTTAAAATCAAATAAGATGGGAATGAAGGAGTTAATGTGTAAAAAACAATAGAGTGTTAAATTCAAATACATCAAGACTGATGATAAATTTTGAGTGCAACAATTTCGGGATTGGAAACAATATAGAGATTTGAAACTATGACATATAAAAACAACTTTATCACCTATGAGGTGAAAGTTAGAATAAATAAACTGTGGCTAGATTTGGAATCCAAGATGTGTGTTTCATCCTATTTGGGACTCGTAAGATGGATGTACCTACAACTCAGAGTTGATGTTCACTCTGGGACTGGAACCTTGTACCTTTCACATCAAACGTCACTCATCCCTTATGGCCAATAAGAAACTGATCAATCGCAGTCCCAAAAATCAATGGGAAGATCCGAACAAACAATACCAAGTGAATTAAAACTTCATCCCATTGATAACTCGATGATATTTGAAGCGAATGGTACTGGGTTTGCGTCCCAGAGTGAATATCAAATCTGAGATGTAGGTACATCCAGCTGACGAGTTTCGCATGTGGTTCACAGCTTATACTGTACACTTCGATGTTGATTGGTTCAACAAGAACAAGGACAAACTGTGAACCGCATGTGTATAAATTCAAACAATTCACTTCTACTGGAAGTTTGTGCTGATAATATCGTTTACAAGGACGATGAAAGCTCTACAACCAAATGATCCAGCTCAGAGAACAAAACTCTATCAAAATTATTCACCTGAGTTACAAATTTTCTCTACCATGAAAGTGATTTATTAATTTGTTATATACCAGTTCTGATAATTATCAATTAATGATTGATTAGTTCTAAATGAATGTTTTCTACCATTATTATTTTTAAAGTTCTTAGTCTTCTAGTCATTGGTGCTGTACGTTTTGTACCAGTTGGATTTTGTACATATATATTTGGTTATACAATATCTGCTTATTCATGTAAGTTATCAGTGTTCATTATAATACAATGACATTGTTTGTTTGTTTTAAAAAAGAAGGTTTATATTATTGTAGTGAAAAAATCTATTTATGGATTCATTCACTCTCTCATGGACTTCTTGTGGATGCACACTACTAAGGAATCCCACAATAGAATGGAATGGCTTTCTAGTGCTTCAAGGCTTTTTATAGTGGTCTAGCTTCACTTGACTCATACATAAATTATTTTTGGGTTTGTGGGGATTGTAGTAATTTTTAATAGTTAAATTTATGAGTCGATTAAAGCTAGATCTTCATGGTAAACTTGGAAGCACTAGGTGGCAGTTTTGTCTGATTATGCGATCATTGGAGTTCACTTGTATCTGTTGTCAAGGTAGTTACTCAGTGAAGACAATAGCAAACGGTGGGGCAATATCATGGATTGGTTGAAGTAAGTCATGAACACCGTTGGATATAGTCTTGATTGTCTAGAGGTTAAGCATTCACCCTCGAGACCAGTGAGTCCTCGGTTCAAATCCTGTGGGCCGAGTAGTGAATACGCATTACTGATGAATCTCGTACTAGGACGAAACGACCTTTCAGTGCTTACAAATATTCCATGGTGGTCTATCTTGATTTGACTAATGAATTCAACTATTAAATGACAATACTTATTCCCAATTTACAACTTTCACAATATTCATTTCGTTACAACCAATAATCATCTATAAGGTGTAATAGTTAATAAAATAAGTATTGTTGTTGTTGTTGTTGTTGTTGTTGTTGATGTTGCTATAAGCTGTATTGATTTGATGCATCCAATGCCTACTATACTGTTAAAAGTTATTACTATGAAATTATACTGATAAACTAAGACATTGTCTTCTTTCTATACAGAATTATAATGAGCAGAAATGTATATTACAAAAAGAATTACATTCTAATATGTAATAATTAGATAGCGGATAAATACAAAGTTATTTATAAGGAAAAGGGGGTTGGAGAACAGATAAGACAAAGAAAGAGAAAGAGAGAGAGAGAGAGAGGGGGGAGAGGAACGTATGTACAGAAAGTGATGTCACTAGGATTTTAGTTGATAGGTTTTGTCTTGTTTCTGTTTTTTGTTTTTTTCGTTTTGTCGGCAATAAAAATGAGAGTTAACATCAAAGGGGAAAAATACATAGATATTATGCTTAATTAAACTTGTTTTTTTTTTCTAATAAAATTAATATAATTAAAGTGTTTAGTCTAAGGAAAATAACAGACATTTACAAAATAACAATCAATGGACTCAATCTTGACCATTCTTCCTGTGAATATGAGTCCAAATTCTCTGATTTCATTGTTCATGCATTTTCATATCGATTAAGCTTCGTTTCTGTTCTTACGTTGTCGGTCTTTTGCCAAAATACATTCTATGTCTGACCATCACCATATACTACTTGTGAGGATATAAGTAGACCATACCATATTCGTCACCCCTTTCAAGCATTCGTTCATGCGGTGGTTCTGCTCACCATACGACTTTCTTCTTTCGATGCATTCTGTGCCAAAATCTCCATCGTAATGTCGAGTCTGCGGCGCGCTGACCTCCATAGCTCCGTCGACCTGCCGGGGCACCAACATCCGCATCCACCCGGCACCTGGGACGTAGAATACCCGCACTCCACTGGCCTGATGAGCCATCTACATCTGATGTCCTCCCAGTAGTCACACATCCCACTGCTCTTCTCCGTCGACAGCTCCTGCTACAGTCGGTGCCGCCTCGCCAAAACACTCCACTCGACGTCATCTCCCCGCACCAGACTGCCCCAACTAGCACCTTAACTCCAAACCCACAGCGGCGTCCGCAGAACAGCACCCTTACTCGTCCTGGTTGGTAGTGACACCAAATCTAGTGAGTAAGAACACTGGTTGGGACTATCGAATGTATTTAGGCACAAATTACAAACTATCTCACTAAATTCTGGTAACCATACAGTAAACGGTTAATTTGCGTAATAACAATCAATTGACTCAATCTTCACCGTTCTTTCTGTAAATATCAGTTCATCTTCTCTGATTTCATTGTTTATGCATTTTTATATCGATTGCATTTCGTTCTTGTTCTTTGCTTATCGATCTTCTGCTGAAATACATTCTATCTTTGACCATCATCATATATGAATATAAGTAGCCCACACCACAATTGAGGTATTTGCGAACTACATAAATGAATATACTGTTGACAATAATTAAGTAAATGATACTGTCTGAGTGAATAGCAGTGACACATGGAAAATAAGCTAAACAAGTTGATTTCTGATGAGTTGAATATTCATTCAATTCTCAGTATGGACAACAACATGGATTTAGATACATCTTCTTATCAAGCTCCCAAAATGCCTTAGAATGATCTAAAGTGGAAGCACAAATGGTAGATATCCAGCATTTTAGTTGGTTCGGTGAATATGGAAAGTTCACCCAGGATAGTTGGGAAACCCTTATACCAAACCATTAATGTACACGGGCTCCAGAACAAATGACCTGTGAAAGATGGTGTGTATGAAAGGATTGTCGGTTACTGCCCTCTCTTAAAGCTACGTTAACATCTCGTGGTTTTGGCCTTTACGTCGAAAATTCAGGGCAGTTGGCCACTCAGAAGATGTCAGTTCTCTAAAAAATACGGCGCTGAATTTGTATGGGACATGAAATCCTTTGGTTCCTGGTTGCATCAGATTTAACCTGAATTAAACAAAATGAACAATCTACAAACATCGTTTTTTCGTTAGATCAAGATATATATAAGTTAACAATAAAGTTAACGATCCAGCCAGATCTTCGTCAGAATTAACTCTAGTATATTCTAGTGATATCTGTAAGAATATATGAAGATTTAACAATATGCACTCAGCAATGAGATTTACATGTGAGGATGAACCTGATAACAAATCGTGTGTCCTTGAAGTTTTGTTAAATCAAAGGGGAACAACTCTATCAGTAGAATTGTGTATGAAATTGCAAACATTTCTCTAGAACTTACCCATTCTTTACCAGAGAAACCATGTTAGATACTTGAGCAGTAGAGCTGGGAAGAAATGCTCAGATGACTCAATAAACAATGTACCAGAGTTTATTGAAACGGGTTACAGTCAAAGGGATTAGAGCCAACTACCCAGGCCTTTGTGTCCATAAGAAATTTGTAACAATCTTATCTCTTTCTTGGTCGATATAGTCTTAGAAATGATTTTAATTATTTTCCACACCGTTTGTCCTTCCATTTGTCTTTAACATTTTTCAAATATATTTTTCAATGTACAACTACTTGAACATTTGTTATTACGTAAATTCAGTATTTTCTTTTTTTCAAGGAATTATGTCCATGTCTACCTTTCTAGGTTTTTGACCTACTTCCTGTTAAGAAAAAACATTGACTCAAGCCTTTATAATGTTTGTCACAACTAGTGCAACTGTCATTACACTATCCATTGTTTTCATTCACTCATAAACTGCTTTAATTAGTTTAATATTTTCATCTATGCATAAAAATAATATTGTATATTAGAGCAAAGCCTGATTAAGATCTTACGGAGAGCAATATTTTTAAGGAGAGATAGATGGTGGCTAGCAGTGGAATCCAGGATGCTCGTCTCATCTTATTCAAGATGTGTTAGTTAGATATACCTGCTAACCACCATAGAGTCAAACTGTACGGAATGTACATGTACCAAAAAAGATTAATTAATATCAGTCCTAAACATTAGTTGAGTAGTCCAAACAATCAATAAATATAAATTAAAATGATATTTATACTGTTTGCTGATATGTGTTTACTCAGTTTACCTTCAAATGTTGTTTTTGTTCTACTTTTTTTCACTGATGATAACATATTACCATGGGATAATAGTATTGATGATCTTTTTAATGGTACGACTATGGATACATATAATGAGTTTGAAATATGCATATTGGTGGAGAAATGATGTATTCAATCAAAGTCATTTATTAAGTCATATAACATTTACAATTATTCTACTCATTTGTTTATTTATTTTAGTAAGTTATATAATGTATATTCATTTATATTTACAATGCTCTTCATTGATATGATCCCAGTAACAGATTACTGTACTCTTTTTTTCATGTTTGATACTTATAACTGACCTTTATGAACAGATAGATATACCTTAGAGTTATCTACACTTATGTGATTTTCAGATTTATCTATATTACGTAACAGTAAAATTCAAGATACATATTGTGAACGATTTTGGGACTGGTTGATCACACACTTGAGTTCTTGTTTTATTAGGAGGTCTTCAGAGTTTGATATTGATAAAAAAGTTTCGTATATGCGAGATCAATCAAGTGGGTTTAGGAAGCTTATATTAGGTAATGTGAATCGAGATGTATTCATGATTGAATCAATAATATAGATATGTATCTCCCAGATAATTAAGTCAGATTTTCATTGAATTATGTAGACTCTTATCCTTCGGATAATTTGTTTAAATATTAACCAACAGAGTGCATTCATCACCATCAAACACTTACCATTTGCCTACTATTTAATTGTTAATACCTTGAACATTTTATCATCATGATAAATGTTCAGACCGATTCAGAAAACACTAAACATCAATACAAGTTTTCGTTTATTTTAACAATATATGTTGAAGAGTTATCAGAAAGACTTCATCGATGAAATAGGGATCAGTGGATAAGTGACAAACTATAGATTGATAGTGGCTAGCATTGAGAAAAAGGGAGAGCGTTTAGTCTTATTTAAGACCCATCAGATGGATGTATCTGCATCTCAGAGTTGATGTTCACCCCGTTCGCTCCGAACGCCATCGTTTGCTTGTATCTCCCCATTGTTATTTAGGACTGCAGTTCTGTATTCCACTGCTAGCCACTATTCATCTTCGTCCAATAATCTTGTGACTTCAGGCAATGTCGAGGCAGTCCACATAAGATGCACATATGCCAACAAGAGACTGGCCACTTACAGTCCTAAAAATAATAGGAAGATACAAGCAAATAACACCAAGTGAATTATAGACTGATCTGTTGTCAACTTATTCACATATTAGCAAGAATATAAAAATAATTGTTGAGTATTTGTTTATAATGTACTAGGCAGTTTGGAGAGTGATTGCCAAATCTTATCACTCTCCACCGTACTTGAGCATTTGTATACTACTTTAGTAATGAATATTTCAAGCTTAAAAGTAGTACAAAAGATAATATTTAACTTTATAATAATAATAATAATATAAAGATTTGAAATAACAAACAAACTGGTTCTAACTTAAATGAAATTGCCACGGTAAAGGTGAACTCATTAGTTCAATTATAATTCAATGATGATTTATTATAATTAGAATTATGATATTGTTTCAATCGTTATGCACTTTTAATGTATTCACTTTTTTTTGATTGTTATTTTATAATTGTAATCATTAATCAATTGAAGCTAGACAACTATGGAAAACTTCACAAGATTTGAATCCATTCGGGATCGTGTCTATGCAGTGCCACTGAGGAGTCCCACAATAGGACGAAACGGTCATCTAGTATTTCTAGATTTTCCATGATGGTCTAACTTCAATAACTAATGATTTCTTATGAAATCTCCATAGTAATCCCTTTTCTGTTATTTTCTTGTTTTGTTCTTGTTTTTTTTTTTAAAATTATCATTTCTATTCATTAGATATGCATCATTTGTTTAAATTCATCATTGAAGAATTCAACAAGTCAATGGCAAAGTACAATACAATTCATTATTGAAGCATTATTTGTACTTATATCAGATTGTTTAAATGAATTATATGGATTTATAATCATTATGTTATTGATGATTATGATAGGGAATAGTTTATTATGTTTCCTATCTGTATATAGTTTATTACATATCTTTGCTATGGGTAAGTTCTATATCATATTAAAACTTTAAAATGTTATTAAATTACTTTTGGTAAAATGATAGAACAATCGATAGAAGGTTCTATTGTAGTGAACAAAACATCAGTTAAGGACAATTTATAGTATCTAAGCACAAGTTACCGATTATCTCACTGAATTGTGATAAACATACAAGTCAATAGTTAATTTGAAAACTATCAATCAATTGTTTCATTCTTGACTGTTCCTTCTGTAAATATCAGTTCATCTTCTCTTATTTTTATTATTCATCCATTTTCATACCGACTTTGCTTCATTTCAGTTCTTTCCTTATCGATCTTCTGCCAAAATACATTTTATATTTGACCATCGCTATATACTACTTATATGGATATAAGTAGACAACAACACAATATCTTCCTATTGATGTTCAGGACTGCAATTGATCAGTCTCTTGTTGGCATATGTGCATCTTATGCGGACTGCTTCGATATTGCCTCAAGTCACAAGTTTTATAAGCAAATATAGATAGGTGGTAGCAGTGGAATCCAGAATACACATATACCGACAATAGACTGATCAATTACAGTTCAAAATAACAATGGGAAGATACAAGTAAACAACAACAACAACAAGTGTATACTACAAGTTGATTAATGAAAATCCTACCAACTCCAAGTATTGTCTATATAATAAGAACATAAATAGACTCTAATTCTATGAATGAATAATCCCCTACAGTTTAATTTCTATTAACAGTCTAAACAAGTTACATATTCAGTCTACTATATTCAAAGAAAGTACTTATATACATACTAATATTGGTATTAATTTTGTATTCTCCTATTGATACAAGTTTGTCTTACTTTATATTCAACAGTAGTTCTTGTATATCATAAGATAAAATTAAATAGTTATAATCTATTTAGCTTTATAACTACCATGGTGATTGACTTCAAATTCCTTCAAAACATACATAGATACATCCATAGATACATACATACATACATGGAACTTATTCTAAGATATAAGACAAGTGTGAATTTAACTTATAATCTATGTTACGTAGATGTATTTCCTGAATGATTAATTCTATTATGATAGAAAAGAAATCATTTAAAGAATACTGTTGTAATCTTTCATACTACTTAATTTATAACAGTATTATATATTATAGTTGAAAGCGTGAGTCAATTGAAGCTAGACCACCATGGGAAACCTGGAAACACTGTACGGCCATTTCGTCCTACAATTTCGTCCACAAAAACCCTTCTATAATTAGTATTATATATGTTTATCTAATATGCTTATTTTTATAATCAGTGATTGAAGTCATTGTGTGACATGATCTAGAATTTATCTTAATAACCCAGATGTATTCACTCTTTATCATTTCAATTATCTTGAATTCTGGTGTTCTTTCATACATCTTTATTTTTGTTTTTCCTACGAAAACAACAACAACAAGTACTACTACTACAACTACTACTTACGCCTGTTACCCCACATGGCGGAGCATAGGCCAAGCACCAGTATTATCCATCCAACCCCATCTTGGGCAGTCCTTTCCAGTTAACATTCATCCTTTTCATATCTGCTTGTATTTCCCGAAGTAATATGTTTTTAGCATCCTTCTTTTCCGCTTCTCTTCAGAATTCTAAGTTACCACCTGCCTCGTGATGCAGTTCGGTGTTTACCTCAGTGTATGTCTGATCCAATTCCAACGTCTTTTCCTTATTTCCTCTTCAGCTGGAAGCTGGTTTATCCTCTACCATAAAACACTGTTGTTGATAGTAAGCGGTCAGTGAATGTTGATTTTTTTGCGTAAACAATTGTTTATAAATACTTGTACCTTCTTGATGATGGTTGTAGTAGTTCTCCACATTTCAGCTGCATACGGTAGGACTGTTTCTACGTTCGTATTAGAGATTCTCACTTTGATGTTGGCTTACAGACAGTTATTTTGAGTTCCATATGTTCTTCAATTGAAGGAATGCAGCCCTTACTTAGCCAATTCTCGCCTTTACATCTGCATCAAATTTTCCTTGTTCATCAATGATGTTTCTTCCCAGATACGTTAATGATTCCACATCTTCCAAAGTTTCGCCATCAAGTGAAATATGTTTGGTGTTCTCCGTGTTGTGTTTGAGAATCATGCTTTTTCGTTTGTGTATGTTGAGGCTTATTGATGTAGAGGCTGCTGCTACATTAGTTGTCTTCATCTGAATTTGTTCATGTGTATGAGATAAGCAGGCTAGGTCATGTACGAAGTCCAAATGATCTAATTGATTTTGAGTTGTCCATTGTATTCCGTGCTTCCTGTAAGATGCTGTTTTTCTTACCGTTTTCATATTGATTAAACTTTCTCATTATGATTGGTACCATACTATTTTGATTCTCTTACTATTCAACGTATTAATTTCATCTTATCATGTTTATATGGTACGATAACCTGAGTACGTGTACATCTGTGCCATACTCTATGTCCATTATGACTGACTGACTGACAGACAGAAAACACCCATTTTTTTTAAAGTACACTATCATCATCTACCATTTCTTTCGAGGTTTTAAATCAACCATACCTATGTCTTGAAGTTTATCCGTATCTAAGATAAACTAACTTAAATAATACAGATATCAATGACATATTAAATAATCTCTTTTGATTGACATAATATACATGAATCCTTATATAAGATGTTTTAACAATGAAATCTTGTTCAATGATTTGATGTAGTATTGAAACAATGGCGCCATATTCTAAATTAAAAAATCTATTGAACATTAATTTCTGAAAGGTATTATCTATTCCTAAGTAAATGAAAGATAAAAATTAGTATAATTCTTGATTGATTAACAATATCAGATATAATTTAACATGGGCCAAAGGAAAGATTAAAGTTTTAAGATCCAACTTTATGATTATTATTATTTATTATATGTATCATTATGGTGTGATCTACTTATATCCATATAAGTAGTATATGGTGATGATCAATCAGAGAATGTATTTTGGCAAAAGATCGTTAAGGACAGAATAGGAATGAAATGCAATTGGTATGAAAATGGATAAACAGAAGGAACAGTCAAAATTGAGATAGTTGATTAATAGTTTGCAAATTAATTGTTTACTCAATCGACATATAATTCACATTTAAACATTAAAATTAAAAACATGCAGTTCAGTGAACGAATCTCTTTTCAACAAATTTACTATCAAGTTGTACAATCGTGTATATCTATGAAAATGTTTTATTGAAGTACTAATTCGGTGAAGAAATGTGAACACAAATAACCAAGATGACACAATAGAAAGATTATGATACTAGATTACGTATAGCTTGTACAGTTTGATAATAAATTCGTTGAAAGGAAATCCCTTCACTGAAGTTCGTGTTTTTAATTTTAACTGTTTATTGTATGGCAGTCAGATTTTAATGAGATATTCTACAGTTTGTGCTTAAATACATTCGATTGTCCCCACTCGTGTTCTCATTCACTACACCATCACTACCAGGATGTATATATATATACAGATAATAATCTCGTAATAATTAGTAATATACGTTCCAAGTGTGGTCTGGGTTACTTATATCCACATGAGTAGTATGAAACGATCGGGCATTTAATGTATTTCAGTAAAAGATCGATAAGGAGAGAATGGGAAAGCGACGCATTTCGTCTGAAAATGTATGAACAATAATAGTCGGAGACAATAGACAAATATTTACAGAAGTAACAGTCAAAATTAAGACAATTGATTGATTATTTGCAAATTAACTGTTTACTGTATGGTTATCAGATTTTAGTGAGATAGTTTGTAATTTGTTGCTTAAATACATTCGATTGTCCCTACCCGTGTTCTTATTCACAGCACCATTATCAACGTAATCTATATGTATTTCTGATTAGCGTGTTTTTAGCAAGTTAGTTTACCATGGGAAATGTTCTTTAACCTTATACCAAACCCTCCTCATTTATCCGCACTTGAGACCGGCAGTAGCCGTAGAGAGGCTTCAGGAAGAGTTATCTATTCATATATTAATATTTAATGTATGATGGTTATTTATCATACAACTGTTTCATTTAATAAATTGTTTTATCGATTGTTAGACACATAAATAATATTGCCGTTTGAATGTTCTGTAGGGTTTTAGGTGTACAGTAACAAGATATTTAAAAATACAACAAAATAGACTTCTAGTGACTTTTCAAATTTTGTTTCATGGTTCTTTAAATTGTATCAGTCTGTCATGAAGATTATCTCTTAATATATTAACTGCTTGACAGGAACTAAGCATTACAGTAAACTTCCTGGTGAAATCTAACTTCACTAAAACAGACTATCTCAGTAAAATTTGACAACCATACAGTAAAAAGATAATTTGAAAACTATCAATCAATTGTCTCAATCTTGACTGTTCCTTCTGTAAATATCAGTCCATGTTCTCTGATTTCATTGTTCATGCATTTTTATATCGATTGCGCTTCGTCGCTGTTCTTTCCTTATCAATCTTCTAGTGAAATACATTCTCTGACTGATCATCACCATATACTACTTATATGGGTATAAGTAACCGACACCACAAAAGTAGGATTCCTTAAAGTTATCTATTAATATAATTAAGCATTGCCTTTATATATTGTCAATTAATTCTTGATCATTGTAAATAATCATAATACATTTCATTTTGTCATTATGAACATTAAAAAACTGGATTCTTTAAACCATTCAATTATAATTTGACTTTTAAAATATTCTTTTAACTTATTTGACATTAACACCGTTGGATGCAGACTCGGTGGTCTAGAATTTAAGTGCTCTGGTTGGTCCTGGATTCGAATCTCGCGAAGTCGGGATCGTGGATGCGCACTGCTAAGGGGTCCCATATTGGGACAAAACGGCCGTCCAGTGCTTCCAGGTTTTCCCTGGTGGTCTAACTTCAATGGACTCATGATTTCAACTATATAAAATTACTACAATTTCCACAAAACCCCCTTGTGTTATTTGATTTAGTTCATCTGATGATGATTGTGTATTGTAAGTTCGAAACACATTGGAAGATATTACTTGAGTTATATATGTCTAATTCGTATTGAAAATCTTATTCTGTACAAGAAAAGAAAGAATTGGTATTCTACCAGTACTATTAAACTTATTTAGTATTGTTTGTTTGAATGTTCCCATTGATGTGCTAGGACTGTAACTGGTCAGTCTCTTATTGGTATATGTGCATACTATGCGTATTGCCTCGATATAGCCTTAATTCACAAGCATTATAAGCAAAGATGGATAGTGGCTAGCAGTGGAAACCAGGATGCGCGTTTCGTCTTATTAGGGAATAGTCAACTGGATTTACCTTCATCTCAGAGTTGATATTCACTCTGTGACTCGAAACCACTACCTTTCGCTTCAAACGTCATCGCGTTATCCACTCGGCCACTGAGTCCTGATGAGTCCCAAATAGGACGAAACGCGCGTCCTGGATTCCACTGCTAGTCACTATCCATCTTTGCTTATCAGTACTATTATCATTACTATTATTATTATTATTTACTCATTTATTTAGTTGAACCAATTCGATTAAAATTTACTGGATGTTTGGATTTTCGACAAATTGGTTGGATACAATATGGATTTTTACCTGTATATTTATTATATTCCATATGGATGATTCGGTTTTATTCAAGTTTTTGTCAAATCTTTACAGCAATATACATTTCTAATTGGTAAGTAAATAAATATTTTTTGATTATTGCACAATGTTGTACGTCTCAGTGTCTTTGGAAAGTTTAAATATACTGATGAACATACAGTTTTCTCTATCATTCAATGGTATTTAAAGGTATCTATGTCCCAGAGTGAACATCAACTATGAGATGCAGGTACATCCAGCTGACGAGTCCAAAATAGAATGAAACTCTTGTCCTGGATTCCACAGCTAGCCACTATCGATCTTCGCTTACAATGGTTGTGAATTAAGGCTATATTGAAACAATACGCATCGTATGCACATATGCCAATAAGAGATTGACCAGTTACAGTCCTAATACATCAATGGGAAGATTTAAACAACCAATACTAATTGAATACGTGTAATATGTTTAGTAAGAACATATTTTTAGTATTGATCTATAATGAAATGACTTAATTCTTAAAGTATTGAATTTAGAATTAATAAATCACAATTTTGAACCCCTTTTCATTTACCCAGCTATACATGACATGATATATTGTTATGACATGATCGCACAACTACTAGGATTTATGATTGCTCAAAGTAAAAATATAGATGGCATAATAAGGCCAAAGATTAGATTAGCACATTTATGTGAATCGGTGAATCAGCCTCATGACTTCCAAAGGAACTCGGCTTTCATCATGAAGCTTCGTAATTATTTCCTCAAGTACCAGGGTAGAGTTTAATCGGTTCAAATAATTTTTTCCGGTTAGCGTTTTTTTAGCAAGTTGGTTTTCTAGGGGATCGTGTCGCTAACCCTATGGCCACCCCCCTCCTTTATCTGGGCTTTGGACCGGCAGTTGACCCCGTAGAAGCTACAGGCAGAGTTTTAACACATGTATACTAAACTAATATTTGCTAAATCTTCAGTTCAGTCACATATATACTATAATGCACTGATAATATAACATATTTGTAGCTGAGAAACTTATAGCACAGCATACAGCACTATGTAAGCTTGATTGAAGGAAATTTAATATGTAATTAAAAGAAATGTCACTGCTGACAGATCAGTCTTAGCTGACATATGTACATCCTGTGCTGATTGACTAGATACAGTCATATTGTTACAAGTTTATTTTATAGAGTCCTCGTATGAACGTCAATGGTCTGATTTACTATATTTATCAGTTTTTAAAAAAAATACTTTTGTTCTAAGTACTCATAAGACTGATAATAGTCATGTCAAAAGATGAGGGATTTTTTTTGATTGACTACGTTCAAATGAAACTGTTTCTTTACAATTGACTAATGAACCACACAATTACTTACTAACTAACACGCCTGTTCCCACTCGTCGAGGAGCAAAGGCCGCACACCAGCATTCTCCATCCAACTTTGTCCTCAACAATCTTTTCCACTTCTTTCCAGTTAACATTGATTCTTTTCATATCTACTTCTATTTTCCGTAGTAAATTATTCTGTGACTTTCCTCTTTTCCGCATCCCTACCGGATTCCAAGTTAGGGCTTGTCTAATGATAAAGTTTGATGATTTCCTATCTACTTTCAAAGTCTTTTCCTAATTTCCTTTTCATCTGGAATGTTGGTTTGTCCTCCCTCATAAAACTCTGTTACTGTAAGTATCCAGTAAGTGAATGTTGAGTATTTTCGCATAGACAACCACACAATAAATAAACATAATGTAATAAATTTTCCTTTTCAAAATTTAATAAACACAGTTGTTTTTCTCATTTAATTACTTAAATGAGTCAGATAATTTAGGGCGTTTGCATTTTTTTTTTTGGTATTTGAATAATTATGCCATACCAAAAAAATGATCTCTATGACAGATTGGTCTTTATCTTGTAAATAACCATAGTGATTAATTAATTAATTAGTCAATTACTGGTATTTAATGTGTAAGATGACAATCAAATTACAGTTTGTTTAGTACAGGTTGTTAGGTTTCTGGTGTTTATCTATAAGCATTAATAGAATGTAGATCACTAAAGTAGACGATTCATATCGAATGATTAGAGGTCTACATGAGTGGTGTGACTAAAAGCTAAAACTGAAGTCACATATCGCGGTCAGATAATTAATTAATATCCTATCTGTCAATTATAGATTGATTTTGATGCCCCCAAATGCCTGGTACTGTCGAAAGTGGGTAGAGTCCGTTCTCCTTCTCGAAATGCTCTCACATGACCACGCGTATATAGCCTCTACGAGGGAAGTACTACTCACTGCCTTCTCATAGCGGAGGTGTTCTTTACAAAATTGAGAGGATGAAAAGCGTATGCTTGGCGCTTTAATCGGGTAGATGAATATGGAGGGTCCACCTAGGGCTGTTGGAAAACCCTGATTCCAAACTAACGGTGCACATGGGCTCCAGTATCCTGAAGGAACAAATGGTGTATGAACCAATCGTTGGTCACCGGCTACCATGGGACTGCATCTCCTCACAATGCTTCACCGCCTTGTGGACTAGACCTTCAGGTTAAAGACTCGGGGTGTGGCCCCCTAAGAAAACCACCTGCTTCGGTTTGGTCACCTGGGCAGTATCACAGCCCTCACACAAATCGAATGAGATTTGTATGGCGCATATGTATCTGATGCTTCCTTGTACTAATATTTGTGTTTAAGTAAATAAATAATAAAAACAGTCTAGGACAACTACAGACAGATCCGAGTTACTTTTTACAAATAAATAAAAGCTTGAACAAACCGTTCGAAAAGTTTGAAATGGCAGAACAATTATGTCATAGACGATTATTTCAAAAGAACCGTAGTAACAAGTTATTCCGAGCGAAACGAACCACAGTATTTAACTAGCAATACTTTGTCTTACTTAACTCAAAACAGAAGCATGTAGTTAAAAGTTTAGATTACTCAAACAACTGAATATTCCATGAACTACTTAAAATTTCTTACAGGATATCACTGCCCTAGCCAACATAGCAAGCGACACCTAGTATATTTTGCCCATCACAAACCACCTCGGGTCATATCATCAGAAAATTTAGAAAGGTTGCTTGGATAACAATCCTCATAAAGTATTGGAAATCCACGAACAAACAGCTATTCAGATATAGAATAGGGTGCTGAGCCGGCATTTATACACCGAACAATAAATTGACGCAGGGTGGGTCGAAATGTCATACTAACTGGATAAAGGCATTAAGGACATTATTGTATTTCACACATAAAAGTGGTCTATAGTATTAGAAGTTATAGTAAGCATTTATTTATTTATTTATTTATTTAAACACATAAATATTGGTACGAGGAAGCACCAGATACATATGTGGCATACAAATCTCTTTTGATTTGTGTGAGGGCTGTGATACTGCTCAGGTGCCCAGACTGAAGCATGTGGTTTTCTTAGGGGGCCACACCCGGAGACTTTGACTTAAAGGTCTGATCCACATGGCAGTGGAGCATCGTAAGGAGATGCAGTGTCATAGTAGCCGGTGACCAACAATTGATTCATACACCATTCGTTCCCTCGAGATACTGGAGCTCATGTGCACCATTGGTTTGGAATCAGGGTTTTTCAATTCCCCTAGATGGACTCGCCGTATCCACCAACCCGGTTAAAGCTCCGGACATTCGCTTTTCGTCCTCTCAATTTCGTAAACAACACCGGTGCCACGAGAAGGCAGTGAGTAGGACTTCCCTGGCAGAGGTTAGTAAGCAGACTTTACATAATAGGAATTTGACCAGTGTTGTATGTTAGTGTTATATTCCTATAGGGTTTTCATCACCAATTGTAATCAGCTATAATACAACGATGATTTATCCCACCCCCCTCTTTTATTTACAAAATTAAAAAATTTCAGGTTGTAATTTTGAGTTAGGAGTTAGAGTTCAAGAATAAAATCCAATTACAAAAACATTCTTAACCTCTCACTAAATCAATATCAAGTAATTTAACACGAAATTAACATCAGGAATAGGTATTTCTTATAATTTGGCTTAACTGCCATGTCGTATTCATTGTTTAGTTGAATAGCAGATAATTGTATTAATACCAAACCTTTCTAAGGACTACATATATATTGCCAACCATAATATACAAGCTATCTGGTACTAAATACTTAGTTTCGTGCAATAAATATACCAGACACTGTTCTAATCCTGATTGACTCATTTAAAACTGTACGTATTAGTATTGTTATATCTTGTGACCTCCTAGATGCTCTGTTAATGTATGACATCATAATACCGTCAATTAGAGAGCAGTGAATGATTGATTGGACCAATGACAAACGAAACACGTTCGAGCATTCTAATGCACTTGTCAGTCCTCCTTCTGCCTAGCCCAGTCAGTTAAGTCCAGGACAGCCTCTGCGATATGAATCACTATATTTCAAACATACTGAGTTTATATATCAATCAAACTAACCACATCGTACCATAAAATAGAAAATAACATTTGTACAAGATTTGACCAAATCTGGCTATGAATAACGGGAACAGTAATCAGTAGACTGGATGTAATTCAACTCTCTTTGGGATACAACAAGTATACTTTTACTTAAATAACTATTTCTCTGTTTGTTTCTTGATACTCACTAATGTTTAACATTCAACATTTAATAAAAGTCAATCGTTTTATTACTCTTTTGATTTAAATAAAAATCATGTTTGCTTTTTGATGGAGTTTTGTTCTCTAAGCTGGATGGTTTGGTCGTGTAGCTTTCATTGTCCTTCTGAACGGCATCATCTGCACAGACTACGGGTGCTGATGATGTCGTTCAGAAGGATAATGAAAGCTCCACGACCAAACCATCCAGCTCAAAGAACAAAACTCCATCAAAGTCACCCACCTCAGCTACAAATCTTCTCTATCATCCCAAAATCATGTTTGCTTATTTTTAGCGAATATATTAATTCTTATAATCAACAGGTAATTCAGTCAACTCTTTATAATTATTCTCTCTATATATAAACATATACTCAAGTAGTTTATGATAACTTTCTATTACTATAGTGAAGTATGTAAACAATAGTGACCTTATCTTTCTATATGTAATCAAAGTTAC